AAGACATATTGCCTTGGGAAAGTCTGCTGTCAGAGACCTCTCCAAAGTACTGAAGAGCAATGATGTCAGTCTAGAAACTAAGGTGCACCTGATACAGGCCATGGTCTTTACAATCATTTGCTATGCATCAGAGAGAGCTGGACAATGACTAGGGAGGATAGAAGGAGAATTGATGCCTTTGAACTGTGGTGCTGGAGAAGAGTATTGAATGTACCATGGACTGCTGGGAAAATGAACAGGTTCATCCTAGAGAGGCTGAGACCAGGCTGCTCCTTGTAGGCAAGGATACTGAAGTTCCGTCTGACATACTTTGGACATGTTGAAGGGCAGGATAAGTCCCTGGAAAGTGACATCATGCTTGGGAGGTTGGAGGGACAGTGCAGAAGAGGAAGAACCCCCATGAGATGGATTGAATCAGTGACTAGGGTAATGGGAGTAGGTGTGTCAGAGACAATAAGATTGGCACAAGATAGAGCAGGGTTTAGGGCTGTTGTACACAGGGTTGCTATGAGTCACAGACAACTCGACAGCGGCACATAACATTACAGGTACCCAGTGGCTGTGGCACTGACCCTGTCCATGGTGACTCCATGTGCACCGGAGTAAAATTGTATTTTAAAGGGACGATTTTTCAGATGCGAATCTGCAGGCCTTTTTTCAGAGGTGTCTCTGAAAGGACTCAAAGCTCTCATTTTCTAATTAGTAGCTAAACCGTTAACTATATGCATCACCCAGGAACTTCAACAATGACTAAACTTCAAAAGACTGGCAACACCAAACGCAAGGATGAAGAGAAATTGGAATTCTCATACATCGTAGGGTGGAAAGTAAAATACTCACATAACTTTAGAAAATTATTTGTCAGCTGCTTAGGAGGGCGGAGGAGGGAAAGACTCTCTATGAGGTAGATTGATTCAGTGACTGGGGTAATCGGGATGGGTGTGTCAGAGGCAGTGAGATTGTCACAGTGCAGAGCAGGGTTTAGGGCTGTTGTACATAGATAGGGTCGCTGAGTTGCAAGCGACTCAACTGGCACATAACAACAACAAACACACATTTAACACAAGACCTAGAAGCTCCCTTCCTAGGTGTCAACAATGAGAATGGAAAAAACCAAACAAAGAAACATGTGCATAAGGAGACTCTTTCCAGTCTGTAGCGACCCACCTACCCTAGAGGAGCGTGCAGGGCTCTGGCCAGTGGAGTCAGAAGGTTTTCCGTGCATCTCCTTAGGGTGGAGCTTTAGCAAGACAATTTTCACCTTAAAGATACCCACAATCTCGTGAGACTTCTAGCCTGCTTTCCCACTCACACCCGGCACCCGGCACACTGCTCTGCGCCTGCGCACGTCCTTCAAAGCAGAAGGGAAAGTTGCGCTTGGAGGAAGCCGCTTCATTGGGTTTGGGTACTTGTCACCTGTCCTTTTGGAACTAGTTGAAGCACCACTGAGCTGTTGGCGGAGACACTTCACCCCCTAAAATGCCTCGAATTATTATCAAGGGGAACGTGTGGAGGAACACTTGAGAATGACATCCTCGAAGCAGCAATAATGAACTATGAAGGGATAAACAAGTCTACGATTGTTTCTGAGCCCCGGTGGCCTAGAGGTAAGAAGCTGCGCTGCAATCCCAAAGTTTTGTGGTTTGAATCTGCCAGATACTCCGAGGGAGACAGAAGGGCAATCTCCCTTGCACTTATTACCTCTGAAAACTTGCTGAAGGGTCAGCTATGGGTCGTTTACAACTCGATGACACACAACAACAGGATTGCTTCACTGCTACCCAGAAAATCAGCAAAACAGGAAAAGCCAGATGGTATGAATGATTGAATCCAAGCATTAAGAAACCGAATGGGCCAATGAAGAAGGGAAACTCTTGCTTTTGCCTAAATTGATGCCAATTCAGTGGTGGACCGTTGCCCCAATATTTGGAAGGACAGCTGTGCAGTGCTTGGAACACTATAGATTTCTTCTGGATAAAGCAGCCCCAAGAGAAGATGAAGCAGAAACAACAGATGATCCATGAAAACGTAAACCTGGAAAAATAGATCCAATTCTAAAAACAAAAACATCACTACCTGACCCAGTTGCTATGGATGAGAAGAACTTGAAATGCTTTCTGAAGTTAAAGCCTGCCTGGCTAATTCAGGGAAAGAAGGCCAAGAAGAAAGCAAGAGAGAAACACTTGGAAGAAGCAAGCCTTCTTGCCGCGCTCCAAAAGAGAAGAGAGCCTTAAGCAGCTGGCATGCAAATTCAAGAGAAAAGAGGTGATTATAATGCCGAAACCCCATTTGGGAGGGGGGAAAACCTGATCTTGGATTTCATGATACTTCTAGGAAAGACTCCCAGGCTTTTGATGCAGATTTCAGGAAATTACAGCCACAAGACCTTGATGAGGAGTCAAAAGTCTGAAAATGAAAGGGAGAGAGAAAAAGACTAGCAACATCTGAAAAAGAGAATCTGATTTACCATTATCTCTTCTTCCAACTAGTGATGTTTCTGAATTTAATAAAAAAAGATGCAAACTAGTACTTCCTGGGCCTGAGATTTCACAGGTACAGCTTCAGGAAGTTGTACAAGTGAGCTAAGCAAGTGAAATTGCACGTCAGACTGCTGAGGAATCTGGCATAACCAGCTCTGCTTTTAATACTCTTCTGAGTACAAGCTACCAACAACAGCGTAGCTCTTAGAATGCCATGGACACCAACTTCTTGGGACAGGATTTGCAGGAAGCCCAGAGCCTCGTGGCCAGGTAGTTACACAGAAAGATTCAAACCATGCTGTTGAGTTGATCTGACTCCTGGTAACCCTGTAAGTCAGAACAGAACTGTCAGTGCCACTGCTGTAAGTCTTTAGGGAGGTGTTCCGCCTCATCCTCCCTCCCCCACCCTCAGGGTGGCTGGTGAGTTGCAGCAACGCAGTTCAGTTACCAACAAAACCCACCTCTAACCCACTATTCCTCTGGGGCTCTTCATGACTGGATGCTACCAGAAACTCCTGTAAAACCTTGAAACTCATTGCCATCAAGTCAGAACCAACTCATAGCTGACCCTACAGTAGAGTTCAGCAGGTTTTCAATTGTGTGGGAGGAGATTGCCCATCATTCTCAGCACCTTGAGGATTCCAGCTATCAGGTATTGCCTCTAGGGTAAAAGCACAGCTTCCTACAGACTTAGCAGAGTTCCGTATATATTTATCAAAATGAATACACTTAACATCTGTGCATTTTTTCGTGCAGAAAAAAATGATACTTTTTTCAGTAATACTTAAGATGATTTCTAGTTCTGACTCTCAACCTGGCATTACCTTGGAGCACTAGCTTCTGACGGCAGTCACTACTCTGACTGATTACTGTTGTTGTTGATGATTGCCTTCAAGTTGAGAATGGCTCATAGCGACCCTATAAACAAAGGCCTGAAGTCCCTCTACAACTATCAACATTTGTCAAAGTTCATAGAGTTTCCGGAGGCGTATTATTTAGGAAGTGGATGCCACTCCTGATTCCTCCCCCTGAAACCAAGACATCTCTGATATCTTCTATGATAAAAAACTGAGAGGCAGGGTCTGATTGGAGCAGAGGCAGAAAATCACCAGTGAGGTGCTACACACATGCATAACCATTGCTGCTTAGGCAATTCTGACATGTGGGAGCCCCATGTGATACAGAGTTTAATCTTGGCTGTAACCTGTACAAAGCATTTCTTAAACTAATTCACTTCCATGGAGTTACTCTCTGTGTGAGTTCAAACTGTCAACTTTTACCTTAACTGCCAAGTGCAAATTCTTTGTGCCATCTAGGGAACAGTTTGTTCTAAAGCCAGGTTCCTAGAAAGTAACCCTTACCTCTTTCCTTACCCTCTGTATTCCTTATATCTTACCCAGTTTCTCTAAAATGGACAAAGAAAACCCAGAAAGGGAGTAAGAACAGTGCCTGAACCAACTACAAAACTTTAATTTCCCAATGACATTGATGTGTATGCAGACAGGACCCCACACAGAGCACCCCAGAGCCCAGAGCAAAGGATGCTTTTCCCTATGATCACTGCCACTGATTGAAAACACACTCACAACTTCACAGTAACATTTTGCCACAGATACTATTGTTAATCCTGATTTACAAGTGAAAACAAATAGTTTAGAAAGTTAAATAACTTACCCAAAAGCCCACAATTTATACGATTCAGAGCTACATTTCAATCGACAGTGGATTTATACCCAGTCTTTGCTCTTAAAATGAACCTCTATGGAGTTGATTCCAGTTGATGGCAAGACCAGAAGTAGAGCACTAAAGCTTTCTTCCAAGAAGCCTCTGGATGGATACAGACCTCCAACCCTACAGTTAGCTATCAAGGCCATTTACCATTTGCACCACTCATGGATTCCCATCTAGGATCTTAGCCACCATGATGCCCTAATTTGTATAAATTTAAAGGAGAAGTTGTAAAAGGGTGACATGGCCTATGATGGGGTACAGTGGATGAGGAAATAGTGCCCCATTCTTCCTTGGTGGATCGTACAAAGATGAGCTTTAGAAATTTTAGCACCAACTGACAGTCTCTGAACCCTGGAGACATTGCCTTCATCTACACTGCACCAAAAAATGGCAGCCATTAGCCACTTTGGTTATCTAAATGTAAATTTATATTAACTCTTTAACATTTTACATAGTTGTTCTGAGTCACATTTCAAGTGCTCAATAGTCACTTATAGTGACTCTAAGTCACTATAAAGTAGTATCCTATAGCAGACAACATGGATCTAGACCCAGTTCTTAAATCTGGCCAGGTTCCAAAGAGTTGTAATTTGCAAGGCCTTAAGGTAATTATGCCTTCAAATGTTTCAGATACAGTGCATCAGTGGTGGTCAGAGAAGCACAGAGGGAGAAGGGTGGACAGTGGTCAAGAGGTGAGGAAAGATCCCAGGGATTGGGTGACAAGGTAGGTGTCCAGATGTCAAACACTGGTCTCTCCAGCAAGTACCTTGCTCTTTTTTGTTTTTCCAGAAGCGAGTCCTTTTCATGATCAATGATTACTTCTTCACACACATCAATGACACACCTTTCAGGTGAGAGTCTCTCATTTTATTTGCCTAGGACAGATGTATGAAACAGGAATGCCAGAAACTTGGAGTAGAATTTTTCTAGTGTGGGAGATATGGAATTTTGTCCTATTTAGTTGGCAATATGGTGGTAACAGTAATACTTAGTTTGTGATATGGTAGTAATAGATCAGCATTTAAGAAACTTCAAGTCTAGACGTATTTTGCCAGTGTAGCCTAGTTCAAGAGTGCAGACAGTAGAGTCAAAATGCTTGGGTTTGACTCCCAACTGCACTACTTACAGGCTGTGTGACCTCAGTTAAGTTACTTCACCTCTCTGTGCATGAGAGCTCCTAATCGGTAAAATGAGGAGATAATAACCAGGAGATTGAGGTGAATATTAAATGGCACAATCCAGTTAAAGCAAACGCCTTATTGCAAAATAAAAGGTACAGGTTTAAAATATTTTTGTTCCCTCAAATTCTATAGAAGTTTCATTCTAAGCATTATACAAATTAGGAAATACATAGTCTCTGAATTATCTTTCTCTCTAAAAATGTGGTCCCCTAACTGACCACTAGAACAGAATACCTGGGGAATTTTGTGAAAATACCAGCGACCAGGCATTCCTCAACCAAACCAATACAGTTGGAATTTCTGAGAGTGGGACCCAGCACTTGTATCTTATAACACTCAGTAGGTGATTTAAATGCTCAGGTAAAGTTGAAAATAATCCTTTACTTGAAGATTCAAGTATTGGATAATTCGATTTGCCAGATGGGAAAAGAATTTTTCATTTGTGGAACATCCTACAAGACATGGAGGGCTTTCTATATTCCAGGAGATTCCTGTGAAATTCAGGAAATGTCTTGGTTAAAAGGTTAACTGAGATGCTTCTTGGTCTAGAGAATTCCAGCATCATCCTCAAAAAGAACAGCTAATGTGAAACTATAGATGTTGCCTCAGTTTTAGATGGGACAGCCTGTGAGTCAGAGCCAAAAGGGGCCTGAAATGTGTGCTGTGTGTCAAGGGTGTAAAAGCTCATAGAGCTAGGATGAGGCAGAGACTAGGAAACAGACAGGAAGATGGCTTGTTGCATGTGGCAGATACATATGTGTCTCTGCTCTACCCACAGTTTGGGAGTGGTGCTGTCCCAAGGCCACGGAGAATACATCCTTCTGGGAAACACATCAGTGGAAGAAGGTGGGTCGGATCAGGTTGTGCTGGTCAGTTCAGAGAAAAGAATGAAATCTCCTAGGATCCTAGCAAGGCCAACCCCCAGGGCGAAGAGTGGGGTCTCAGAGCACCAGCTGCCTGTGTCCCAGTGCCCAGCCATGCTGGGCCAGGCAGGCAGTCCTGCACCAACCAACAGAGGCTGACAGTGCAGAGTCAATTCTGGAAAGATTTGCTGAGCTGAAATAGAGGGCAATCGAAGAACTGTGTTGCTTTGAATAATGTAATCAGAAAGCTAGAAGCAAAGATTAAAAAAACAGGGGAGACCAGGAAGTGTAAGATTGCTTGTGGAAAATGAGCCTGAAAGGAATGACTAGAGATGGAGAGAGGACAGGAGAGGATTCTGACTGTGGCTGCCTGAGAACTTGAGAGAACAAACCCTATACCCAGAGGTCAGGTATCTATCAGGAAATCCTGGTAAAATCTGGTTAATATTCTACTCAATGTTCACATTACATCAATTCTCACTATAACATCCTTTGAATGCATCTCACCTCTCCATCTTTCTGCTACCACTGTAGTCATCGTTGTCTCCCAGACGACCATGATAGCTTCCCAACTGATCCTTCCACCTCTTTTTTCTTCTCTAAGCTTTAGCCAGAGTGATCTTTCTAGTAATACCTAATGTAGTTGTGTCACTGCTTGAGGACTTCTAATGGCTTTCTGAATACTCACCATCCCTCCATACTCTCCGCTTTAAGGGCTTTCCATATGCTCTTCTCTCCCCCAGAATGCTCTCCTCTCCATCCTTCAGTCCCTTATCCCAGTTCACTTTAATCCACTCCTCATGTCCCAGCTTTGATGTCAGTTTTCTGGGAATCTGTCCTTGGCAGATTTGCTCTTCCCCATCCAGACCAGGTCAGGTGGCCGGCCAGCTCTGTTCTCCCAGGTAACTACTCTATCTGTCCTTTCTTTCCTGTGTCCATGACTGCTGGGATATTATTCTTCCCCATCTTTCCCTGACCCCCAAACAAGAGGAATTTTTAGTTTCCATTACACTGACTATCCTCACTGGCATTTCTTCCTCCACCCAGGTATTTCCAGGCCATATCATTCAAGGAACAGAAGGATCTTGAGACAAGCTAGAAGTCAGGGGCTTGGGATCATGGGATTGGCTGAGTGCACTGAGGAAATGTTCCTCACTCTGTGTCTAGTTATTTTGTGTACATGTCCGTCTGATAACCCTTTTAATGGCTTCATAGCTGATCCTCTTCACTTTCCACAATTCCTTAATTTAGCAAAGTCTTGATTGAGCACTTGTTTATTATTGAGCTTGAGTAGGCGTTCAATAGATGGAAGCAGGAGTTAAGAAGCATCTGCTTCCTAAACATCAGGCCTCTGAGGCCTCTGGAAACTCTATGAACACCGAGAGACAATAGTTATTGAAAGGCTTCAGGTCTTTTCATAGGGTTGCTCTGAGTCGTGCTCGACTCGATGGCACTCAACAACAACAACAACAGGCATTCAATAGAGCATTTGTTCATTCAGTCAACAAACATGTGCTGAGAACATGGCCAGTGCAGAAGCCGTGTTGGACAATGAGGCTTGTAGACATGAAGCAGACACGGCCCATCTCCAGCTCATCTCTAAACCACCATTTCGCTCAGTTAGGTACAATAAAGTCAATGAGACTGAAATCGCCGATTTAAAGGCATTAATTCCTGAGAGAGAAGAATTAGACATGGTCTCCTTACAGAGAAGATCAGTTGTTCCTAGGATAGCTATGAGTTGTAGTCAATTAGATGACACCTAACAACAACAAAACTCAAGGGCATGGTGTCTAAAGAAAGCATTAGGACATGCCTATGATAACTTGATGGAAGAGGAAGAGATGACTTATGGCCAGGTAGATTATTGAAGATTTTGTGTTTAAACCTTGAAGGAAGGATAGTATTTGGACATGAGACATAAGAGGGACAGTTATTTCAGGAAATGGAAGTAAAATGGGCAAGTTCATGATCCATGACTGCTTCTTTACACTGATCTAAGGACAGTGCCTGGACAAAGGAAAGAAAAAAAGCCAGGCCTCTTCACAGTGCAGCTGTTGCCAACAGTGCACGATGCACCGGCTGGCATGGGTGCACGTCGTACTGAGTGCCGACTCTCCTTTCAGGCCTTCATGACCTGCTGCACCCGGACCTGACCCTGGCCAGTGAGTGGTAAGCAGGGACTCATGCTGGGTAGAGAATGAGAGGGGAGATTGAGGACCTTTGGAAGCTAATACTATCTGTCTTGGGTTCCAGGATCTACTGCATCACCGATATCGACCCAGATCACCGGAAACTCAGCCAGCTGGAGGCCATGGTCCGCTTCCTGACAAGGGAAGACCCAGATTTGGAGTGTGAGTTCCACCTGCCCACTGAGGCCCAACTGGTGAACTTCCCCAATGGAGTCCTAAAGCTCAGAACTTAATAGGAGGGGGAGGCTGCCTGGTGGGAATCCCTCTGCTCTGCCACAGCCACACTGGAGTTTCATCCCTGAAACTCAGAGCAAGGGAATTTCCAAAGAAACAAAGCTGAGCCAGCTTTACTATGGAGCCAAGATGGTGTCTAAGTGTTCATGGAGCTGTGATGAGACAATTACATTGCCATGTCAGGAATGAGAACTTTTCAGACCTCTCTCCACAAAGCACTGTGAGGACTCAGATGAAAAGCTCGCACATGTAAGGGCACCAAGCTTCTCAACAGGTCTGTCCCAGTCACTGTGCAGCAGTGGGCCCCAGACAAAGGGCTCACACCCTGCACCCTGGAGGCCTCACCTCGGCAGAAGTTCAGTTCTCTTAAAGCCTATGGGTCTGTAATTGCTTTCAAACTCTGATTCTTAGGCTAACCCTAAACTCCCCTAAACTAAGTCGAATGATGAAATCATGGAGTCACACCTCAGCATCATCCTTCCTGCTTCTCGCTGGAAGAAGGAAGAGGCTCTCATGTTATATAGAAGGACATGTACTTGGAACATGTGAAACCATCTGCAGGATACTGGTCCAACAGAATATTCATTTGTTCATTCATTCATTCTACAAACAAATAGGCCCTGATAGTGTGTGTGTGTGTGTGTGTGTGTGTGTGTGTGTGTGTGTGTGTGTGTTATAGATATTTATACCAAGTCTGAAGCTAGGCATTAAAGATATAGAGAGAACTCATACAGACAAGGATCTTGCTCTCATGGAGTTTATAAATTAGTAGAGAAAACAGACACTAAGCAAATAAGCTTAATTATGTAAATATAATTAAAGATTGTGAAAAGTGCCATAACAGGGGGCTATGAGGGTGGGAAATGGAGTCTTCCTTAACATATGTTCCAAGATGATCAGTTCTATAGGAAACTGTCACATAAGCTGAAGGCAAAAAAAAAAAAAGCTATCTGCTTGGCTCCATAGTCAACAGTCTTGGCACCAGCAGCCAGGAAATTAAAAGGCGCATTGCAATGGGAAAGTCTGCTGTTAGGGACCTCTCCAAAGTACTGAAGAGCAATGGTGTCTCTCTGGAGACTAAGGTGCATCTGATACAGGCCATGGTCTTCGCAATCACTTGTTATGCATCAGAGAATTGGACAATGACCAAGGAGGATAGAAGGAGAATTGATGCCTTTGAGCTGTGGTGTTGGAGAAGAGTATTGAGAATACCATGGACTGCTAGGGAAACAAACAGATTTGTCCTGGAAAGGGTTAAACCGGGTGGCTCCTTGGAGGCAAGGATTCTGAGGGCTCCGTCTAAAATACTTTGGACATGTGAGGAGAGACCGGTCCTTGGAGAGGGACATCATGCTTGGTAGGGTGGACGGACAGCGCAGGAGAGGAAGGCCCTCTATGAGGTGGATTGATTCAGTGACTGGGATAATTGGGATGGGAGTGTCGGAAACAGTGTGATTGGCACAGGACAGAGTGGAGTTTAGGGCTGTTGTACATAGGGTCGCTATGAGTCACAAGCGACTCGACGGCACATAACAACAACAACAACAAAAATCCATACAGAGTGGAGAAAAGAGTATACAGATCAGGAACGACATGTGTGGAGGCTCTGAGGCAGGGAAGAGCCTGGCAAGTTCAAATCTATGGAACAGACAAAAGACCTTCTAGTGCTAAGGAAAGGTTGGCAGTCAATTCTACCTGAGATTCCACAGGAGAAAGATGAGGCAGTCTATTTCCATAATTATTTACAGTCTCTGGAACCCTGAGGAGCAATTCTGTTCTGTCCTGTAGGTTCACTGTGAGTCAGGGTTGATTTAATAACAGTTGTGGGTGGACAGGAGACCAACATGACTAAATGGAGAAGCAACTCAGGAATGAAGGTTGTGATGGAAGAGAAAGGCAGGGCTTAGATCTAAGACTAATGTCGCAGAGTTATTCTAACTCCGGAGCAACGGTGTCTCTCTGGAGACTAAGGTGCGCCTGATACAGGCCATGGTCTTTGCAATCGCTTGTTATGCATCAGAGAGTTGGGCAATGACTAGGGAGGACAGAAGGAGAGTGGATGCTTTTGAGCTGTGGTGCTGGAGAAGAGTACTGAATGTACCATGGGCTGCCAGGAAAACAAACAGATTCATCCTGGAGAGGATTAAACCAGGCTATTCCTTGGAAGCAAGGATTCTGGGGCTTCGTCTGACATACTTTGGACATGTTGCCAGGAGGGACGGGTCCTTGGAGAGGGACATCATGCTTGGGAGGGTGGAGGGACAGCGCAGGAGGGGAAGACCCTCTATGAGATGGACGGATTCGGTGACTGGGGTAATCGGGATGGGTGTGTCAGAGGCGGTGCGGTTGGCGCAGGATAGAGCAGGGTTTAGGGCTGTTGTGCATAGGGTCGCTATGAGTCGCAAACGACTCGATGGCACATAACAACAACATCATAGGAGTATAGAAAGGGTCTTAGCAATCATGTCGTTTCACTCACATATTTTGGAGTTGAAGAGACTAAGACCGAAAGAGGTTAAGCTTCTTCAACTCATGCAGATGGTCTCATATATTCTAGGTATATTAGTCATCGCTTGGTCCCTGAACTTCTTCAGAAGGATTCTTCAGAAGTTTCTTTAGAAGGATCAGTGAGCTAAGTCCATATGGTGGGAAAAACAAATGACTTGGTCTCTCTTGCCCCTGACTTGCTCACCCAGGTGATGAAGAGCTGGTGCGAGAGGTGCTGTTTGACGCAGTGGTGACCGCTCCCATGGAGGCCTACTGGACCGGACTGGCTCTCAATACCTCTGAGTACGTCCTGGGGCGGGCTGAGGGCTCTGAAGAGAAGCAGCAGGCTAGTTCAAGTGCCAGAATTCCCTGGGCTGAGTCAATGGTCCTCCTACTACCTGGCTGACAGTTCAGAAGACTACCTGCATCCTCTTGGCCTAAGAGGACTGGTGTGTACGGTGAGATTTAGGCGGAGTGAGAACTACCTTCACTCCGCCCCCCTAACGTATACCTCTCAGCAAAGTTTCCATACACAGCAGATTTCTGCTGCCCTCTGTCCCCTTTGAAGAAAGAGGACCCGAGTGCATCAGACCTCACAGGTCAGTGGACAAGAGCCTAAATATCACCCTTCTTAGGGTAGCTCTTTCCTGAAAACACTTCACTCCGGGTCAGGCTTCACACTTGAGAGCTCCTTAGTCTAAGAACTTTCTCAGGAAGCAGACAGAATAACCAGATCTGAACCTTTTTCCAGCCAGTATACACAATGAAGTATAAAACCTTTCATCTCTATTTCCTACCTGCTTCATGCATGGTCACTAATTAAAAAGTTGGAACTTTGAGTCCCACTCAAAGGCAGCTCAGAGCAAAGGTGGGTAACCCACTTCTGAAAAATCAACCACTGACAACCCCAGGATCACAGTTCTACTCTGACACACGTAAGGTTACCAGGAGTCAGGGTCAACTGGATTTAGATTTCCTCAGCTCCTTTACTGGTCTGGTGCTAGAGTGTATGTTGATCAGGTAGAAAGAAGAGATACTGTGTGCATGTGCACGTGTGTGTGTGTGTGTGTGTGTGTGTGTGTGTAGCATGATTGTCGTTGTTATGTACTGTCAGGTCAAAACTGACTCATAGCTGACCTTCCAGCAGGTTTTTGGAGGCAGTAAATCACATGGGAGGAGATTGCCCATCCTTCTCCCATGGAGCAGCTGGTGGATTTGAACCTTGTGCCTTTAGGTTGACAACACAACTCCTTACTACTAAGAAGTAGGCCAGATACTAGTCTAAACATTTGGAATATTTGGGAGGAAATAGGTTTTCAGTCTCATAACAACTCTACCCTATAGATGGCATCATTATCCCCATTTTACAGATGAGAAACCAGATTGTAGCAAGACCCAGTAACTTGTCTGAGATCTTATGCCTAGTAAATAGCAGAGCTGGAATCAAAACCAGGTAGCCTGGCTTCAGATTCTAGAGTCTTTAGTCTTGAACTCTTCTGCCCTGTACAGTGGCTTGGATCAGTAGACTTGGAAAGAAGACTTCATTTTTTTTATTCTTCATCTTTCCAAGTGTGTAGATGAGCTGCATATTCTTTTAAATGGTAAGAACTATTGAAGAGCAAATATTCTTAAGTAGGGTATGCATTGCTTTAATAAGGCTATGGGGGGAAATTGTGTCATTTTCTTCAAAGACACATGAAAAGATATCAATATCTTTTTGTGATGTTAAAACATCTCTATAAACCTGAAATTCACCTCGGCCTGAAAGTCAGCATCTTACTTAGTGGGAGCAGAAGCTCTCTCACTGAAGACAAGAATGAGGCCACCAAGCTCACTTTCACTACCACTATATAACAAGTGCTCAGGGGATGAGTCAATGCATTTAGACAAGGGAAAGCACTTAGGAGCAATAAAAGCTGGATAGGAGGAAATAAGATCATGTCTATTTAAAGACGATATGATTATGCACCTGGAAATGCCAAAACCATGAATAGGAAAAGTGCTAAAAACAGTAAGAGAATTGGTAAAAGTAATGGGTTAGAATGTCAACATTGAGAAATAACTTTTCTCTGCTTCCAAAAGGTCACAGCTTTGAAAACCCTTTGGAATGCAATTCTATGCTGAGCCTAAAAGGATGCTGTGAGTTAGAATTAACTCAATGGCAACCAGCAACAGCGTTCTATACAAACTCACACCAGGGAGAAAAGATCATGTGGGAAATTCTATTTAGAAGAGCAAAAAATAAAAATACCTATGCATTACTATAAGATGTGTCCAAAAATCTAGAGAAGTTATAAAACACTCCTGAAAGACCCAAACATAGTCTTGAACAAGTGGAAAGCTGAATAATGCACATGCTAGTTGCCTTAAAATATGATAGACACACCAATAGGATAGAACATAAATTCATATGTTATGTGGAAAGCTAATGTAAGATCAAGGCAGCATGTTAAATCAGAGAAGAAAAACTTAACTCTTTGTTGTAATTTTAGTGAAAGTCTATAAGCAAATTGGTTTTCCATTCCATGGTTCATGTGTGCTACGTTTTGTGGTGTTGACTTCAAGCTCTACATTATATCCACATTCTTCCCCATGCTTCCTGTTTGCATTCTTCCTTCTTTCTTCTCCCTTTCTGCCTTCTGAAGCTTATCCTTGAGCAAGTACGCCCCTTTTGATCTGTGTGGTTGGCTATTCTAAGGAGCATGTGTCCTGCTGGCGTTTCTGATCACGGGGCAGGCCTACCTATTTTGGCTGGAGGTTGAATCACAGGGGTGATGTCAGTCCCAAGCTTCAATGGTGACTAAAGTCCATAGTCTCAGCGGTTCGGTAATTCTCTCTTAGCTTGTTAACACTGCTATTTTTTATTATTTTGAATTTTGTTTCACATTTTCCTTCTACTCTATCGGGAATTTTATGTTATGGTTGCTTCCACTGAGGTCAGCAATGGTAGACATGAACTAACTACAGGCTCTGCCTAGGTCTGGTCTTGTTCTTATTTTCCATTAATCTGTAGGACTAATGTTGTTGTTGTTTGCCATTGAGTTAGAACTGACTCATAGCTGACCCTTCAGTAGCTTTTCAGAGAGAGTAAACCACATAGGAGGAGACTGCCCATCCTTCTCCTACAGAGCACCTGGTGGATTCGAACTCCATGGCTTTGGGATAACAGCGCATCTCCTTACCACCAGGCCACCAGCATTCTCTAGTCCTATTTGTACTAATACTCTTTTATTTTCTTAAGTCTTTTTCATCCTAGAAAGGGAGAGGCCAATAATTGCAACTTGGATAACTTCTTGGAAGCTTTTAAGATCCCAAAAATAGGATGTAGAACATTTTCTTTGTGGACTGTGTTTCACCAATTGACCAGTGAGACTGTGGTCCCGAGTCCAGGTCCAGTAAATCATTCCCTGAAGTTGTTTGGTTAGAACTAAGTTTTCATAATTTTGGCCTCAGTTTGCTCTGGTGTGGAGATATGGATCTATTTATAGTGCACACAACTATATATGTAGAAATACCATCTGCCAAACATATATGGCCGTGGGTGCCATCTCATTCACCTACACATACCTGTCATTGGTTTGGGAATATCTGGACAGCCATATGGAGAATGATAAAATTGGATTTCTTCCTCACACCATACACTTGGACAAAGTCCAAATTGCTCAGAGATTTAAATGTAAAAGGAAACCACTTCAGCGCTTAAAGAAAAACTGAGCAAATAGTTTTAAACTCTAGAAGTAGAGAAACCTTTCCCAATGATGATTCAAATTCAGAAGAAACAGAGAAATGATTGATAAATCTGACAACATAAAAATATTTGTATGGCAAAAATAAAATAGAAGCAGACAAAAAGAGAAATGACAAACAGGAAATATTTGCAGCTTTTAAAACAGATAAATGGTTTCTATTTCTCTATGTTACATATTTATGATGGGTGGACCACCCCAAAAATGGAAAGTAAAGACCAACCATATCACAAGAAGGTAGTCAAGAGCTATGGATAGGTTTTTGAGGGGAGGGGAATGCAAACAGCCCTAAAACACATGAAAAAAGTCCCACCTAGGTCATAATTCTCCAAATTACTGAGGAGCAATGCTGTTAGTGTGAGAACTAAGGAGTGCTTGTCAGGCCATGGGCTTTCCGATCACTTACTATGCATCTGAAAGCTGGACAGTGAATCAAGATGACAGAAGAGTTGACCTTTGAGCTGTGGTATTGGAGGAGAATACTGAATATCGCATGGACTGTCAAAAGAACAAACAGATATATTTGGAGAAGGTGCAGCCAGAGTGCTCTTTGGAGTCAAGGATGGCAAAGCTTTGTCTTTCTTATTTTGGGCCTGTTTCAAGGAGAAGCTCTTCCTTGGAAAAGGACAGCATGCTTGGAAAGGCAGAGGGATGGCAAAGGAGAGGAAGACCCTTAACCAAGTGGACTGACATAGAGACTGTAGCAATGGGCTCGAGTGTATCAGGCAGTGTGAAGATGGCACAGGATAGGACAGGGTTCAGATCTGTGGTTCACAGGGTCACTATGGGTCATACTCGACTCAATGGCACCTAAGAACAACCAGTCACAGTACAAGAAATACAAAGGAAAATTACACCAAGACAATGTATATAAATAAAACACAAGGTATACGATTTTTATATATAAACTAATATCAAATTTTAAAATTACACCAAGATCATATTTCTCACAAAACAGATTGGTAAGCATTCAAGTTTGGTAACATACACTATGGTGAGGCTATGGGGAAACAGACACGTGCATCCATTGTGGATGGGAGTCCAACTGTATCACCTCTATGTAAGGAAAGTTGATACGATCAAGAATAATCACATATGCACTTACTCTTTGGCCCAGCAATCTCACTTCTAGGAACTTATTCTAAAAAATAGTGGCAAATCCATGAAAAGGCATGGGCATGAGGTAATAACCTAGACAGGTTTTTAGAACCCAATAAAAATCTAACTGGACCCACATAAGACAGCTACAATGAGCTCTGGTAGCTTAGTGGTAAGGAGTTGCACTGCCAACCCAAAGGCAGGTAGTTCAAGTCCAGCTGCACTGAGGGAGGAAGATGGACACCTCCTCCCCTGTGATTTACAGCCTCTGATAAGTCAGCTATGTGTTAGTTCCAACTCAAAAACACATAACAACAACAGCAACATACAGCTATTAAAAAGAGAGACAAATATTTATATTTAGTGCCATGGGATGATCTCCAGCAAAGAAGATAAACATTCACATGAGAAGGACATCATGCTTGGAAAGGTGGAGGGACAGCACAAGAGAAGAAGGCC